CTCATAAATTTTTTATAAATTTATTTATCGTTTGTATACACGACAAAATTAGATTATCTGATTAAATATATGAATCTATATATCACCACAGGTGGAGTTAAGTTATGGAAACCTGTGATAATCCAGACTGAGGACATAGTTAAATTATAATAAAGCACAAAATTGACTGATTATACGCAAATGGATAAAATTGGTGTAGCCACTCAAAACAATATATATAACGAATGACGAAAGCAATAACAGTAGTACATGCAGAATGTAGCATAAAAGTCTTTTTCAGGAAAAACAACAAATAGAGTCTAATCAATAAGTAAACTTTTTTGTACTCTTGTCTCCAACAGCGTTAATGAATGTATATAATTGTATCAAATAATAATCTTTTTTATTTATATGTATGCAAATTATATACATCGACTTAAACTAGGATTACGCATACGGTTGCGCGCAAACAAGAGAAAATAGGGAATAGTATAATAAATCAAAGGATCCATAGATTTACATACACTTAAAAATCACATCCGTTATTTCGAAGGAGTTGGTGATGATGAATGGGATGATAAATAAATATTGAATCAAAAATAGATTGTGGTAGTATAAGAATGTATCGTTTATGAGACCATATTATTACTGCACACACTCTTATGTCCTACAAAGCAGTCCGTTCTCCAAATGGTCCACAAAATCCACAAGCAACTTACAATCATCAAGAACCGCACTCTTCGCCTGCTAAGCCGCAAAAGGAACTGCTGGGCAGAATACAAACGATCTGACACATTCACAAAGGCGATAAGGGAAGAAAGGCTTCGTTGCCAAATAAAGCTTATCGATAATTTTGTTTCCGATCCGACAAGCTTATTCCGTTATGCAGCCTCTTCGTCAAGCCAAAATGGGAATTTCCCAACTGCTAGGTCCCAATCGCCTGACCGATAATGACGGTGACGCCGCAAACCTTTTGGTTGAACAGTACTCTCGGACATTTCAACCGACCCACATCAACTATACTGATAGCAGATTCATCTGCAACTGCACAGGACTTTCCGTAGTGAAGCTGAGCGCTGACTTGGCGTTCCGGAAACCGCAGCACATAAGAAAAGACACTTGACCTGGCCCGGATACGGTTCATCCTGCTATACTGAGGAAAGCAGCTTTAATCCTGACAACACCGCTCACTAAGCCCAGGGGAAATTACTGAAAAGTTGGAAGCTAGCTCATATTACACTAACTTTCAAAGGAGTCCGATGCAGCGAAACTTCAAGTTACCGGACGGTGGCTCTTCCATCTATACATTCAAAAATCATGGAGTCCCTGACATGCAATAGTATACATGATTATTTACTGTCCTTAAATTTCTTGCCACCCCAACAGGATGATTTCAGGAAGGGTTGCTCTTGAATAACCATTCTGCTGACTGCGATGTACAGATGGTCAAGCATCCGTGATCGCAGGTGGAAGGTTGATATCATTCACCTTGATTTCTCAAAACCTTATGATGGGGTTAACCATATATATCTTATCAATAAGCTCGATGGATTGGGTCTCAGACAACCTCTAAATGATTAGTCCATTTCGTATCTGAAAAATCGACATTTTAAGGTTAGTGTTAACTTCACTTTCTCTCAGGCTATGGAATGCACTAGTGAGTTCCTCCAGGGTTCAGTACTGGGACCTCTTCTCTTCCTGATTTATATAAATGATCTTCCGCAACAGGTATCGTCAAACTTATCACTTTTTGCCGATGATATAAAACTTTGGAGAGAGATACGCAACATATAGGCACTTCAGGAGGATCTAACTCGACTTCAAAGTTGGGCAGACGATAACGGACTTACCTTGAACAATTCAAAGTTTAAAATAGTCCATCTGCGACACCTTGCAGATTACAGTTACAACTTGGGAAACTCCTATCTAGTAGTATCCCGAGTCGAAAAAGATTTTGGAGTTCTGGTGCCCTACGTTTCAAAGTCTTACGCTAACTGTGACAGAAATGCCTTTCGAGCTAACCTGGCACTGGTAACATTGAAGCGCATTTTTGGTCAGTTTGACAGAAGAACCTTCCACATAATCTTCAATAGTTTCATTCGTCACCACTTAGAGTACGAAAACATAGTATTCCCTCCTACGCTCCAAAAAGGATAAGGACACTCTGGAGCGTATCCAACGGTGAGCCACTCAAATTTAAACCTTACGATGAGCGCCTCAAATCACTTAACCTTTACCCATTAGAGTATAGGCGTCTTAGAGGTGACCTTCTAATGACTTACAGTATCCTTAACACTTCTGGACATCCTCTTAAACACCTACTTAAGCTTAGTCCCAACACTAACCTAAGGGGTAACACCCAGAAATCGGGGATACAACTTCTACTCCTTAAGAGTTGTTAAATGCTGGAATTTGCTGCCGGCTGAGCTAGTTCAAGCGACTGCCAGGAATCCTTTAAGAGGCGACTTGATCTATTCTTAAGGACTAAGGATAATATCGAATTATGAGTCACCGATTTCTCTTTCTTTAATTTATTATAGTAAATATACCTAGGTTCTCGCCTGGAGGTATTGGTGATCCCCTGCTGCTAGACGCGGAAGCCTGTTAAGCGAAAGCTTTTTCTATTCCGTCCACAATATTTGAACTATTAATGATGGTTCATATTTTGTTTTTCTGCGCTGTAGTTATGACAACCTGGAGTGACTAAATAATTAATGATGTTAGAGGTGGGAGCAAGTTATCATTTTTATTTTCCATGTCAGATCCTTGCATCCGTTATTCTGTGAAGCAAAATATTTAATAACTGGCATGATTTCAACCAATAACTTAACATTTTAAGATGAAGTAAATTTCTCAAGTTTATTTTGTCCATAAGAGATGTTACTGTTTTTTGCGTATGACAATTATATATACTTGTGGTTGACGTATTTTTTGTTATATCTGTGGAATATATCTCTACGTAGTGTTTCCCTGATTTTTTTATAGCACTTATGATCTCGTTTCCATTTAAATGTAAAGGAGATCTCTAATTGGAGATTTATGAAGACATGTAATCAGGAGTAATTTTAATGATACCTCAATGACATCATTTAGTCTTTCTCAGTAAAACATACTAATGGACCCTTAAGTTCAATGAATATTCGATGCTTTTAAATGAGTTTTTAAGTAGTACCCGTCATGAACTCACTCTATTTCAGTTGAATATTTGTTTCATTCAGTAGCGAATAACTCATAAATTAATTTGTTTTTTTAGGTTGATTAAACATAAGTGTAAACTATGACTAGAGCTATTTAGGTTTGATTATATCAATTGGCATTTTGAGTAATTTGGGAGATGTACACAGGAAGCTAACGATTAATAAGTCAAGATAGATGTGAACAGTATATGCTTTATTCTACAGAAAAAGTTAACACTGTCACCCAAATGTCATTAAACTAATCTTATGCTATATGATATGACATAAACAGATGAATAGCCATGAGAAAATGTACGTTAAAATAGCTATTTCTTTAAGCATTATTTATTTTCTGTGGACTTATTTCATATATATATATATATATATATATATATATATATATATATATTATGGGAATTTTGTGTGGCAAATACTCATTATCTGAATAAATTGCAGTTCTGAAAACTGTCGGTTTCAATCAGAATTCGGCTTGTCTGGTTTAAACGTTCAACTGAAACTTGTTAACTATCCAAGGTCGAAACCTCATTTATTTTGTACTTTACATAACAAAGCTAGACCTTGTTGGGGAGTAGTCTAACGCCATTCATTTGTACTTTCTAGAGTTAAATCTTTTACGATAAATGTATTCAAAAACAAAAGTATTGGAAACGTTTAGTGGTTGAAATAGATAACAGCTTAATAAAAGCATCAATTTCAAAGCATTTACTCATACTTAATGCTTTATGAAGATGTCAACTACCATAGATTATTGCGTTAAAATAAAATCTGAGTTATAATTAGACGGATTGTCATGAAGAAAACACGTATATATCACGACTCAATGAACCATCAACAGTTTGCCAACAGAATATAAGAAAATGTCTTTCGGTTAAATTACGATGCGAAAAATAAAATGGGTTTGCTAAGGAGAGTAAGAAAGAATTTTACGTCAGGATAGCGTGGTTTAAAATACAGTCATTAGAGCAATATAAAGTGAAATCTGCTATTAACAATTCAAATAAAGACTGATGGTTTGAGTCAAGTTATATCAAACGATAATGTTCATAAAATAATCTCGATTAGCTGATTTAACTTATGTCATAGAATATGAGTGCAAGCTGATCTATACAACTAATCGTTCCACCTTAATAACACAAAAATATCTTTGTGAACACCAGTCAGTCACACTGTAGAACCTTGTACGTATGTACCGCAGTCCAAGTTGCCATACCAGTTAGCACAGAGAAATAAGATTACCAGGCCAAATTCTAAAACAGTAGAGGTAGTAATAGTGTCAGCAGAAAAGGTTTTAAGGAATTTATAATTTGAGAGAAGGTAAAGAATAGATGCACATACGTCCTTGCAAAATAATTTTGAGCTAAATCATTCAAAGTTTCTAGTCACTGGTTACGATAATCACGCAAACTCCTACCAGGTAATCTATACTTATGAGCATGGATAAGTACGGTTTTCAGTGCTTTCATTGTCGGTTTAGCCACCTTTCTTTTAACTTACCCCTGCACCAGAAAGCAACCCCGGTCGAGGTGGTAATCGGTTTTTCATGTATAACACATGTCACAACCACATCACTTGATGAAGATTATTTATCTCATCAGCCGATTTTCTACCCTAGTACCTTACTTCCAACCCAAGGACTGATTACTCCGTGGTCTCAAAATACACGAACAATGCTTCGTAGACAACTATGATCCAGTACAAGTAACCTATGAATATCCCTTTTTCTTAGTGGCCATGTTTTACATCCATAAAGTAGGAGGGCTGTACAGTAAACTCACCCCTTGGTTGGAAGACAGATATCTCTCCTACATCACAAGTGACGCAAGTTGGAAAAAGCGGATCGAGTCTTCTGACATTTAGACTGATACCAGACCATCAGGACTGACGTAACTTTCAAGATAAGCTAACTGATCAACACTTTCAACTACCTCACTCCCTATCATTGACTTGAGCAATGACGCAAGCCATTGCTGAAGCAATATTTTACAGTTAAGGGCAGGAAACCACATATAAGCATGCTTTTATTGTTGTTTGAGGTTGTCAGAAGACTATGCATTTTGTCAGCGTCTTCACGAAACAAAAACATATATTCCAGGTCAATAAGTGAATATCCTAGTAGAAGACCAATCTCTGAAAAGCCGGGTGACAACAGCGTTATCTCTAAGATCATGTTAAAACTGAATAAAAATGGGGAAAGCAGACAACCCTGAGGAGCATCACTTGAAGTAGCCAAATATGACGACAGTTTGCCGTAAGCTGTCATTTGACCGGTGGTTTTCGAGTGGAGAACTTGTACGTGGTTGACGTACTTCTTTGGTACGCCTTACACTGAAAGACATTGCACTGAGTTCGGGAAAATAATGCATTTGTTGTAGTTTCCATGTTCTGAATTTTCGATGATTTTGTTCTCAACCACACCTCGTCAATTATGACCTCAAAGAACAGTCAAGTTTGAGGTTCGTCTGTTGGTATATACAATGAACATTTACTGGATGTTTGGAACCTAATGTGTTTAGACATTTTTTATAACGGTGAAGACTCTTTATTCCTATTTGATTTCCTTAAGTACGTAATATTACTAATAACACTTACTTAGTTCGGCTTCTTAGTGACGTTGTTAATATTCACGCTGACTAGATTGCAGTCTTCCAAACAGCTGAAATCGCAGACAACTGCCAGTTTAGTATTCGAATGTTAAGTTCAGGAAAATAAGCGAATGAACTTATGTGCTGAGTTTTTGTGCGTTAGCTAAATGAACATTTCCAGTGTTAAGTTTTCGAAGGTTATTTATGCTTATTTTCATAACAGTTTGTGTATACATGTAACAAATGTCATTCCAAGTGCATTATTTAGTGAGATATTTTATTCTTTGCAATACAAGGGCAATGAACAATTTATTATATATCCTGGAGAGGCTGAGATTTTTATACGGTCCATGGAACTTGTAAAATATGGAGATTTTGGTTTAGAAAGATGGTTTAATTATCATGGGTATTTAAACAAGCTAAATATGCAGGTAAAAACAAATAGCAATTTATTTTATTTCCAGGCTGTTGCTTCGGCTCGTATTCGATCAGATGAGTTTATCAAAGAATTTCTTGTTAATCATCAAAAGATACCTATTCTAGTTCATGATCTAATTATGGTTGAACTTTGGAAGCAAAAAGTGTTTAAAATTATATTAAGCGATAAGGAAGAACCTACATCTGCGTTTCCATTGTATACTATTATATATCATGAACTGTTGTTGGCAAATTTATTAGAAACTGTAACATTCCACAATGATGCAGTAGAAACCTTTGGAGATTCAGTTACTGATTTAGGAGATTGGTGTCATCGGTCATTGTGTTATCTCGTAACTCAATCAGCATCAGAAGAGGAAAAGGCAGTATATTTTGAATTGAAAAATAAGGTAGTTATTAACATTTTCTGGGTTTAATAAAGTAATTTGTCAGCAAATCAGTTAAGTTTTGAAAATCATTGAAGTTTAAGTCTTCTTGTATCGATCATGTCTAAATGTAAATCGGCTCTCATACAATCCAACGAGCTGTTAAAGACTAAAACAATTGTCGCAAGTGAAATACCGGTTTACAATATTCGTTTAGTTTAACATATAAGAGAAAATAGTTCCTAATATCATTCTTTGAAGAAAGACAAATTATACATATTTCCAGTAATTCTCAACGTTTTGATCCAGAATGTTCCGTTCTCAATAGTCCAAAGACGTATATGTCTTGTAGAGACTTTACAACTGGAGCTCGCTAGAAACCTGAAAGATGGCATGTGGTCATTCCGAGAGAGTGACACAGAAGTTGTTTTTAAGAGCTTTAGAAGAAAGGAAACGAATTCGTTTGTTTATTTCAGTTGGCTGGTGGTCATGTATACAACAAAACAAATGTTATAAGATAATTTTGAAATATTCAGTCTTTAAGTTATTTAGAAAGAATATCTAACAACAGCTAACAAGATGTCCAGAGTAAAGTCGGATATTAGTGTAGATAAATTTCGGAGATTATAGTGTCTTCACAACTGAAATCACGAGTCAAGTCCCGTGTGCAGAATCGTTGATGCGCACTGATTTAGCTGTTTTAACTTGCTAAAATACTGATGACTAATTTTTGTGTCCTGCAGGCATAACTTGCTACTCGGCTCAATATGACTGAACGTTCTAACAAGTTATACCAAGGAAACTAATGAAAACTCTTGAAAATCTTTAGCAGTAATCTTGCTAAAACGTCAAAAGGTTGAAAATGATCGAGTTAACAATTATACAGAGAACATGCAGTCACAGAAGCAGAGGTTGATAAAATGAAAAGTAAAATTACCTTTCATGTATATCTGAGTATAATTGTGATGGTGATTTCAATAAGCTACGACTATTATGACAGTTGTAAGAAATACATTAATTTTATTCGGCCTAGTTCGTCAAGAAGGACAGATTATTAACTTCTATAAAAGATTGAGTGCTAGTAGTATCACGAGTCAAGTCCCGTATGCAGAATCGTTGACGCGCACCGTTAAGGAGTCCCTTATTGGGACGAAACGACCGTCCAATGCTTCTCGGTTTTTATTAGTAGTCTAACTGAGATCAACTCAAGACTGCAATTGTTAAACTAGAAATTTTGAATGGATTGAGAATCTTTTAGATTCACTAGAACTTTTTTCCAAGCATGCAAATCGTAACTGAGACATCCATGACAATCGACTACTGAATACTTATATGCAGGTATATATGAAGTAACGAAAGTAGTGTAAAATTGCTATGTAGAAATCTATGTGAATATCCTAGGAATTTCAGAGTACTTCAAAAACAAACAATCTGAATGGCTTCTTACTAGAATGAAACATATAGAAACTATTTTGGCACTTACAGTTTCTTACTGATGAATAGGAAAGACCGTGTTTAATATTATATTTGTCTTTGATTACGAAAAAATTGAGAAAACAAAATATTACTTGTAAAGTCAGATTTACGATGATGCTTAGTTAACAAAATACGACAAAAAATAATGATGGACAGACTATTCGGCAGTCAAACTAGAAGGCATTGATTTATTTTAAAGTATTTTCTGTTCTTGATAACGATCTCTGTAAGGAATGGAAGTTTTTACATTATTATATGGGCAGTTTTATGAAAATCCAAAGGATTTAAAAAAATTATTTGATGCTTTTCTAACATTTTGATTAATGAATCGCCGGGTACGACACTGTAAATAAATGTTATGATTGAGGAAATGAATCGATTTTTATGATGAGAAGTAGAAAGAGAAAGAATGACAAGTGTTGAATCAGTGGTTAACGACAAAATAAACTAAAGACAAATAAGAAAGATCCAGACAGGATTACATCTTTTTCAACCTGAATTCGGTGTAAATTCTTTATGTATAGGGCCACGAAAAACCCAAGTATATATCACTATAATCTTTTGTTCGAGGCTTTGAGAGTCGTTTTAATGTGGCTTCAATAATCTTCTTCTGGATGCTTGATTATGAAGTAAGCTAATTGTCTGCCATTTGGATTTATCGAATTTCAAATTTATACATCTTAACTTATTCGTATCCCATCAACCGAATCCAGACATCGTGATTTTTTTTTCCTAATTTTGTGCCAAGAAATATTTATGTGGGCTTTCGTTAGGGCTTGGATTAAGAGTCATTGCAATAAAACGCAGTGTATTTGTACGAGATTTTTTTCTATTAGGTTGTCACGTATATTCCCTCAACTTTAGTTGAAGCGGTCATCATGTTGAAAGCTAATAACAAAAATCTATTTAGCTACAACTTTATTATCAAGAGCAACTAAATTCAGTAAACTGATGCATTATATAAAATTTAGTGATATTTGAAATACCCCTTTACATGAACCACATATAATTTAGACATCATCCACCAATAGGCTTATCTTATTTAACTGCAAAGTAAACCCCATTTTGCTTATTGATTCGACAATAAAACACTCAATTCTACGTGGATTTTATAAATACGAGTCTTAAATTACTTTTACAAAATAGGCATTACGATTAATTTAATAGTAGCCAAACATCATAGAACACCATTGTTCTACAGTACTTAACTGTTGATACAATGAGCAGGCAGTTCACTTGCTGAAGGTTTTAGTCATCAATCTATTATGCAGGTCTAGGGAAAACAACTAACTTTTCATGTAAAGAGGATACAGGTTATACGAATCACTTATTTCCTTCTTTCAAGGCATCTGTTTAGTCATGATTAACCTTTAAATCAATAGGAGTGCAAACAGAAGAACCTTTCCCATGACCACCAACCATATTTAGTCACTTGTGAAGAAAGCCTGTCTTAAGGTAAAATTACACAAATTCTCGGGCTGTTATTCTCATACATCTGATGGAATGAAATATAAAGATTATAAACCGACATATTAATGTTATTTCTTTATGGATCAAAGTTATTGTAAGTGAATATTAGGTTAAAACTAACCGCTTAACAATACTCTAGAACAGATGTTCATTTGTTGAGTAACCACCCAATATGAAATTTTGAGAATTAGTGATAAGTTTTGATTAGAGCTGGTAAATTAATTGATGAAATCACCAAACAACATAAACGATTGAACCGAATCTTAAAAATGCCTAAGGAACCTTTACAGAACATTTGCCATATCGATTTTGAGATTGATGAGGCTAAGTAAATAACCTAGGTAATGAAGTTATTGATTTATCACATGAAAGGTGTTTATTTCCTATTTGTGCTATTAATATTGACAGAAACCAAAGGTAAGACTTCAAACTTAGAGTTAAATTATTCAACCATTCATATAACTGATTAAGTTTATCCATTAAAAGAAAAATACATTATAAATCTTGAATTTATTTATCCGTTGTAACAATACAGGTTAGTGATACCAGTAATTTGAAGGATTTAGATCGTCACTATAAAGTTATTGAATATGAAAAGGGTATTAAAGCTATCACTATTGTTAGACATTTGTTTGAAAACTGTTTGAATTCAGACAGTGGATTACCTCCCAATATTGGACGTCGTTTACTTTACACACATGATATCCCAATTATACTTTGTCAATTACTTGAACAAAAACCATGGGTAATAATTGGTTGTGACAAATCTAATACACAACGTCGTCAACATATTTGGCACGAGAACGGGTCATGGATACCAGATGACAAAACATCCTGTGTTATTCACAAGCCAGAAGCGCAGGTAAATAATAATATAATGTTTATCTGGATTTGATTAAATAAAAAACCAATGATTTAAGTCTTTAACCAATGTGAAATTAGGGCCAATATTATTTTATCTAAAGAGTAGAACAAAAGACATATCTTTAAATCAGGTCTGGCATATTTTAGTAACAGATTCAAAAATGAAATATCCAGAACACTGTTGTGCTTCCAAAAAAGTTGAAAAGAAAATACATATTTTCGAAAATATGACAGTCATATATTTTACTGTATTCAAGGCATTTATCTTTCTGAAGGTGAATATTTGAGTAACAAATAAATAAATATAAACGTTATTTCACGACAAAGAGAACAGTGGTCTACTAGAGTAGATTTTAAACTAAATTTATAGATTTGCAATTTTAAATAAAACAATTAAGTATTCATAATCAGGGAAGGGATTTTGTGGATATCATAGTAATTTAATAGTTGAATTCATGAGTCAATTGAAGCCTGACCACGATCGAAAACCTGGAAGCACTGGACGGTCGTTTCGTCCTAGTATGGGGTTCCGCAGCAGTGTGCATCCACAATCCCACCTCGCGAGACTCGAACCCAGGACTTATCAGTGGGGTTTAACCGGGTCTGTTGTGAGATAGTAACTAACTGATGACAATGGTGGGCGGTGGCGCAATTTCGTGAATTGATTGAAGTTAGATATTAACATCGTCGGATGCCCGCTCAGTGGTCTAGTGGTTAAGCGCCTGCGCTCGAGATTGGTAGGCCCTCGGTTCGAATCTCGCGAGGCGGGATCGTGGATACGCACTGCTAAGGATTCCCATACTAGGACGAAACGGCCGTCCAATGCTTCTAGGTTTTTGATCGTGGTCTATCTTCAATTGGCTCATGAATTCAATCAAGTATTTGCTGGCGCAAAAAACGTTAAACATTAAAAAGAACGAATTTCTCGCTGTAAAATTAGAATACTTTTATGGTAATATATTTCAACAATTCGAATAGAACTACTATTTATTAACTGTATCTATCAGTCTAAACGTAACTAAAATTAGGATCAAATGATACATCAATGTAAGTTATGATTTCTATCTTTTGCTGTTCAAATTATTTTCACTTGATTTTGCTAATATGTGCACAATCTTTAAATGACAGTTAACTTTTGAAAAAGACGCATTTTCTATTTTCACAATATTCTTAATAAAAAGTGTGGGTACATTAACTTATCAATATTTGTTGTTAGTTAGATTTCCAATAAAGTATTTTGTTATTATAAACTATTTGTCGATCGAGCTGTCTATTTTCTTTTTGGGGTAAAAATGGCTCTAGTGAGACAGTTCCTGAGGTTGATTTTTAAAAATATCTAGGTCTTAAACTAGTGTAGGTAACTTAGCACGCTGAGTGTTGTTAACTTCGAAAATAAGCACTTTACAGGACATTCAAAAAAATCAAAAATATCTATCGAATTTTACTACAGTTTGTCTATATTGACATGTATCTTCCAGTAATGATAATGGATGGTAGTAGTTTAGAAGACTATTTATATTACTGTGAAGGACACCAAAAGCATTTAACTCTATAATAGGATAATTCGGTTAAATACTCTGAATTTATAGTCTTAAAATACAAAAATTCGATATTTGACCTAATAATGTAGATTTGTAGCAAATACTGGAGAAAGTTACAAACAGATGTTATGGGTGGTTTGAGAAATAATCCAAAGTAGTATATATGTACATAAGTTAGAACAACGCTACTTCGAGAGTATTCAAAAACTATTTATCGGGATTTTCGCTTGAAATAACATGTAAGTGAAGTGTGTTATGAGTTCAATTAAAATATTCTTCCAATAGCATAAGTTCTTTGCATATCCATTCTCCAGGGACCTAAAATCGTAGGTAGGTTGAAATATAGGGTAAACTAAAAGAAGAAATAGTAGTTCATGAAATTATTAATTTTATTTATATCCGTGTCAAGTTGCGTAGAATTACTAGCCTTGATCAGTACGTTTAATGCAATGTATAATTGGAGATACAAGTTGGTGGCACAAAATGGATGAGAGTGGCACAGATACATTTACTTTTTTTTCTTTTAAAACAATTGGAATGAATATTATTTTATGCTTCACTTCCTTGCTTCCAATTGTCCTAAAATTGTTTCACCTTTGGTTTTCATATTGTTAATCTTTTCTTGTTGTGTTAACGTAAAGCGTGGTTGAACGTTGATTATGCCCCCAAATGCCCTGGTACGGCCGAGAGTGGGGCGAGTCCGCTCTCCCTCTCGAAATGCTCTCACATGGCCATGCGTATATAGCCTCTGCCAGGGAAGTCCTACTCACTGCCTTCTCGTGGCGGGGGTGTTGTTTACAAAAATGAGAGGACGAAAAGCGAATGTCTAGCGCTTTAACCGGACCCCAAACCAATGGTGCACATGGGCTCCAGTATCCTGAAGGAAGAAATGGCGTATGAACCAACTTTCGGTCACCGGCTTCCATGGGACTGCATCTCCTCACGATGCTCCACTGCCTTGTGGGTCAGACGTTCAGGTCAAAGGCTCGGGGTGTGGCCCCCTAAGAAAACCACCTGCTTCGGTTTGGGCACCCGAGCGGTATCACAGTCCTCACACAAATCAATTGAGATTTGTGTGGCGCATATGTATTTGGTGCCTCCCTGTACCTATACTTATGTGTTAAAATAAAATAAAATAGAACGTTGATTATGACTGACTACCAAGTGCTGAGAGGATAATGACAGGAAGATTTTAGCTTTATAATTTAAATCATGGTACAAAAACGGTGGGTACATTATGTAAGGTAGAACGTAAGATCGATTTATGGTACAGCTGTATCAACTTTCAAGCATCTCTTGTTAACTGCTTTTGAGTTATTAACCTAATATTTTAGTAAATAAGGAAAATTTAATTTGGCTCAAAATAACTAATCGACGACATAGATTTGTATAAAAAATACACAGGAAAATTACGAGAACAAACTTCTTATTAAAGAACTAGATTTTTATATAGGAATCAACTCGAATACTTGATGTTATTTATATGTAAACCCATCAAAACTAACTAATCCGGAAACGCTTTTTATACATAACTAAGACATGATACAAATTATTTGCCTAAAATGTTTGGTAGAGTCATTGAATTGTTTTTAACCCGAAGAAACAGATGTCTGAGCCATTAATTTTTGAGGACGATAATAGGATTTAGATACAAACGTTTCTAATTCAACAATAATAGGAAATTATGGAGCTTGTAACGTGGGGAGTTCAAATAAGTTAACTAGGATAAGAATAGAACAGCACAAAACGTTAGTTCGACGCTTCTGGTTTTGATCTGAAGAGTTTGTTATTCTGTACAGTAAGTCATTTCTTGATATTAAAACCTTTAGCCTTAACTACTGCTGATTGCATGAGTGATTGGAAAGCCGCATATTTGAGAAATTCGGCACTTCATCAGAGAAGATTTTACGCATTATCTATTGGAATTTCCTAGGATTGTTTTGGAAATCCGTAATCCCATCACTTCCACTTATTGCTCAAGAACAGGAAACTCGAATAAATGAGATGCGATTGTAGGATTACTTATCAGATGTTCATTCTACTTGCCGAACTTCCAGCTTAACACAGTCTTTGTCTTGAATACATTAGTTATTATATGAAATGAGAGTTATTTTAATACTAAATTAGCGGATATAGTACCTCAGTAATCTCAATCTAGTGAAAATGTTTCATAGAAATACTAGTGAGATTCATTGATAGCTTTTGCCCAGATGGCTTTATTCATCGAGGGGTTTCAAATTGTCAGTTTCTGATCAATCTCATTGCAATGTGGTTTTTTCTTTGACCTAAAGATTCGTTTTCTTATTTGAATCATGAACTAATCTAAGTAAGACCATCATTGAAAACCTATGGGCACTGAACGGTCGTTTCGCTCCAAAATAGGACTCCTCAGCAGTGCGCTACGGCGATCTTGCAGGTGAGAATCGAATCTGGGACCTTTTGCTCGAACGCCCGACCTCTAGATCACTAAGCTAGTATTCAAAGATTTTATTACCTAACTTCAACCAAATGAATGAATTCATTCACTGAGACTATATCGAATGCTTTTCTCTATTGTGACCTAAAATTTTCTGTAGATCTGATTTGCTTATATACTATCTACTTTGTCATGCAGGAGTGAAGTCGTTAACCGTGCTGGCTAATCCAGTTGCTTAGGAGGCTACATAAAAATGATGAGATGAGCAAAGAAATACTAGCATGAGTAAAATAGGTTGTTTATCGTTTGTTAAGCTATGGAACCAGCTTTGAAAATGTTTGACAGCAAGTTATAATAACGAGTAAAGCAGGTAAGACCAGCACGAGTCAAACATACAAAAGCTAAACACTGAATGAGAAAAATGTGATAACTCTCGTTCTAAGATGAAAGGTATAACACCCTTTTAATGTTTGTAGAAGGAACATATTACAATTCTTCTCGGAAATGTTAGTGTTTTTAAATTTCAGGTAAGGCTGTCGGCTAGTATGCAGTTATCGAGAAATGTGTTAATATTCTTACTTCAATGTTTATTTTACTCTGTATTTTATAGATATGGTTATGTCTATTTCAAATTCTATTAGCCAACAGTTCTTCCCTAAAATATGATTGTTCAGTTGGCCACAGAAGAACAGCTTTATTGAAGCTACGTCCACTACTTACCGAAGTAAAACTAGATGTTCTACCTGTTCTAATTGACCTAAGACGCTTTTTGGAGCACTTAAGTCTTAATGAATCGTATGGAGGCACAAGTGATAAAATTAATATGTGCCTTATAGAAGTAGTGCCAGAAATTCGTGAGTCATTGGTTAGCAAGTAAGTCCTATATGATGGGTGTAATAGTGTTGTTACACTATTTTATGTTCAATTTATACACTCATGAAACTTCTACAGCTTATTGTACAGTCAGTAAAGTATTTTAAGGGTTATTTGTCAGAATATTAATTTAATTTGTATGTGCTAATATTTTCAAAGTGTAGAGGAGTTTCCATAAATAGTCAGGACGATAACAGAAAACCCTTAAATTCAAAACACACAATACTCTTCTATGTCACTAACAGTTTAAGAATTTAGGGCCTAATTAGATAGTTGTTGTTGTTATGTGAAGTTATGATGCTGAATGGTTTTGTTCATCGAACTCTCTTTAATTTTTAAAAAAATGGGACGGCGTTTAGAGAATCTATTTCGTGAGACGTTACGTTGTTTCACTTGAAATCACTAAATAATAGTTATAATCAAATTCAGATGATGTATGGTACGGACCTCATTTATTTTTGTGCTTCTGTGTTCAGTAAATTAAACGAGCTGGTGGTCTGAACTTCTTACTAAAATATAATTAATTACAGTTATGGTTATTTTTCTATTCACAAGACTCGATTTCAGACTTCTATTTACATTGATGAAACATGTTTCAATCCAAGCTGTGGCGACAAAAGTTCTTCGGTGCAACTAAGATGGATAATTAATAGTCATCAAAATAAATTATCTTCGCATGTCTGTTGGATAATGCTATATTTTTATCTTATAATACAGTGTTTAAGATTTTATTGTCATATGCAATAGTCTGAGAAGTAGTACACAAGAATTTTATGTATCAACTTTTATTTCTCAGGGGTATAAATGATCATTTATATGTGTAGATGTGGTAGTGCTGCTAGATTATTTATTTATTTGAACACATTAAACAGCAATGAACCACATTAAAACAAGCTGGAGTCAAATAGTGACGATCCAACAGTCAACAGGATTCAAATCAATGTGAAATTTACTATTATAACAAAGTAGTCATTAAGTAATGATAAGCAAAATTTGTAGCTTCAGCGTAAGTACTGGAAGTGGTGTCCAAAACGACAATCAAAGCTTCACAATTAAGTCATATAGCTTGGATAAGGTAACATTATCAAAAGTTATCCAATAAATTTACGTTTCAAATAAAATCTAAAACACTTATGAACCGATTCGGATATGGCATTCAAAGAAGCCTTTTGGCAATTAAAATATTTTATCGAAAATCTTACTATTTAGAAGACTTATTAACCTCACCAGGAAATAAACATTGAAGGGAATAAAGCTTCTTTTCAATAATTTCGTTTTCAAAAGCTGTTGAATCTTATTTATTCGAGATAACAAAAGTGATAAACAAGCTTTTTTATAAGTAACATATAGATATTCATAATCCCAGTATATACACACAAGGAACTACTTAAATCATATAATCCTAAAATACTAAAATGTTATTTAAAAAATCCTGTAAACTTATGTTCAAAGACATAACTTATGTAGAGAGTTAACTGATCAAACAAAAGAAAGGCATTCAGAAGAGACTTGATTGACTCGACAAACAACAGATACCGAACAATCAGTTGCTCTGTACGTCTTATTTCAGGATATGCGGAATGGAGGAAGCCTGATAAACTTCTTTATGAAATACAATGAAAACAGATGGACATCCTTTAGTATCAGAGTTCGGAAAACGAAGCGATATTATATACGATAATGTAAGACGTATTTACTACTAGTTAATTTAATCATGTATTGTCTTACCAAATTTTTATTAATTAATAAGATAATGAATTGATGACTTAGTGGTTAACGGAATTGTAGGTGGTATTTGACACAAATGTTCCTGTTATCCTAATACACCTACTACTTTTTAAACCATATATATATTTATAACCCGGATATATTCCGTCGTTTTAAAATCTAAATCATACTTATCAATAATATAGAACTACTGAAATTTTGAAACAAAAATTACTCCGATAGCACTAAATAAAAAATATTTTTACTGCATTATCTTTTCAGATATAAGAATAAATGGAGGAAACTTGCCACACTATTCCAAGAACAAACTGAATCTAATCGTGGGAAAGAGGCGGCGAAAAAGGCAGCATTGCAGTGGACTGAGGCATTTTCTGAAGAACATCTCAGTCAATTGTTCTCCTCCTCATTAGGGAATTCAGGTGATGAAAATCCTCTATATCCAACACCAAGATGTCCAACATGTGGAGAAATTGCCTCCAAACGATGTTCAAGGTGTCGTCAGGAATGGTACTGTGGTCGAGAATGTCAAGTAAAGCACTGGTTAAAGCATAAGGACGCTTGTGACTTATTATCAGGAGCAATAACTTCTGATAAAAACTCGAATTAACTTTATCCTAACAATTTTTTAAAGACTCTAATGTAAATAATATTAAAGTTTACTCTGAGGATTGGTCGCTTGAACAAAATACAGTTAAATAAAAACTTCTGAATTCCACCATGTGAATCAAAAATTTATTTAACTATTCGTCATGATTAACACTGGTCAGCTTCTAGATATTTTTCATGTTTACATTACAAGAGAACTGCATCTAATTCATTGATTTGAGACTTCCTATCCGACTAGGAACCCACCTATACGTTGTTAGGACACCAGTGGAACCGAAATACTACTGTTACATTTACAGAAAAGGTAAACGAAAGATACTCCGTACAATTCGTTTCTTTGACATACCTTATAAGGGCGAAATTCTAGTAGTTTTATTGTTGTTAGCTTGGTAGTCGCAAACAAACGTTATGTGTATTAAAAGTTAGTCCATAACTTGTGTGATCAGGTAACATTAAAAAAGACCTAGATTTTGATACAAACGCATAAATAAGAATACCGTGTTTGTCTTCTCCATAGATTTTGTAGTGATTTCTGGATAATAACAATTTAGGTCCAACTATAATTCTAAATATATCAAACTGCAATTAAAAGTCATCTTGTTTACAGCATAAAGAAGTGCTATGCAAAACACGCGTATCAAAGACAATATTTCAGCGCTCTCAGTATGTATCGAGATGTCAGTTTCTAACTGAAAAGTAGTTCAGTATTTGTTGTATATTTTGAGATAATAACTGTTGTAATTTTTGGCTACAACTACACGAATTGAGCATATTCGTTTATAAAGTACAATGTCAATATTTTCGGAAAAATGCTACTAAACAGCTATTGATAGATCACACAAAATTTGCGTTGAGAAACAAAACTTACGCAATATAGATATATTTTGACATTTTTTCATCGACATTGGCTTCAACAACAATATCAGAAACAATTAGATGTTTGCAAATAAGTTAGTGAAATCACTATTTCCATAGCGTGAAATAATTAAAAGCATTTTAAGTAGGTTATAATCAAGGAAGCAAATATATATATAAAAAGAAACTGTAAAAAACCTAAATAACTGTACATGATCGTTGGGATTTATATGGATTGTCTCTTGGGGGACAGAGCAAGGGGTCATTTTGAGCGTTAGTGAAACAATAATTACGTATATCCCAGATGGTCTTGCTAAGAGCAATACGATTTAGCTCCAAGCTATGTTTGTAACATGCAATATCTAGTTTTTTCTGCTCGATTTCAGCCTGTCGAGGATTGGTTTGATCACCTTCCCCAGGATTATCGAAAGAGTTCATGTTTCTACGAGGTAAATGTATAATAAAAGCATGTAAAAGAGTATGGATCTCATCATAGAAATAAAGGAATAGAACTGACTTGAAAAACAGTTGACCAATGATTACATAACATATGGTATATCTCTATTGTATAATCTAGCAAAAAGCACACCCAAGGTCTATGCTCTTATTCAACAATAATATTGTAGAGCACAGAACCAAAAAGAATATGCTTTACACATCTAAGTTCGTGTTAAATTGTTATTTACTATGGTTGAGGATGAAAATAATATCATTTGGTGGGTATCGTGAAGAATCATCATTTCCACGCTTAAAATAATAATGCCATTAAGCCACACAAAATACGTCCTAAATCTCTGGAGAAAATTTGTCTACGGGAGGCGGAGATAAACATCGTGAGACTTTGTTGAAATATGCATTGGTCCGTGTTGCTATATTTCAGCATACTGATAGGAAACAAACAAGGGGAAAGCACAGGAGTGAACACGACGGAGATAAAAGTAGTGAGAAATAAAAAAAGAGAAATTTAAAAACAAACGGATATATTGGGAATCAAAAACTAAAGGGTGTCACAATATCCAGTATATAAGATTATAAAAAGTGAATCTGTGCTACTAAAAGCACTTTCGAGTCATGTCACTAGCACAGGTTCTACGTTTGTGGCGGGATATTGAAGTGTTAGTAATTTCATGTACTGATGTTGCATTTATGTCTGGTGCACTAAGGTTACTAGCCAGCATAATACAACATGGTAGGTATTTGATAAACAGACGTGATATATATCAACCATCTAAGCTAACAAAAATAATGAACTTCATCAACTGACTTATCACCTTTTACCTAGAAATTCATAAATTATGTCGACACTGACTAACGGTTAAGTCTTAATTTATTCGACGAATAAAAGTTTTGATATTCCGCAACTGTTTATGATATTAAATAATATTAATTTTCCTGCTATTAATTTGTATGTAGGCCTGTTGCTTTGTTAAATAATAAGCCTATTCTTTTATGTAGCTGTCTTGTCTTCTGATATCAGCTCATTTGGCAGTTTGGATCAATAATTTGGGATTGAGAGCAGTCATTAATCAGATACATTTTGTTGATCAACTTTGGCTAATGATCAGTATTCTATGCAATCATTTTTCCACTCGTTCTGTTCTCCCAAATTCTAATCTTCTGAACTCTTCATGTCGCTTTTTCCTATTTCCTAATATATTTCTTTGGATTATACCCTTTGAATAACATCTTCAAACACTAATGTTTCCGATTACTGCTTATACTCTTACCACCTCTACCACTACGGGATTTGAATCGACAATTGTATCTCTGTGCTATTGTGGTATGGCAAGTCGAACTGATGTACGTACGTACGTACTGACTGATGCAATCATTTTACAATAAAAACCATGAAGTTTTAAACCATAACAACTGTTCACTGGGTGGTCCTATCCGACTTCAGAAAGCATTTAGAGTTATTTGCGACTGAATCTGTTCTTATAATTGGGAAACTTTCGTCTTAAATTTCTATAACCGTAGTTCGTAGATCTAGATTTTGGTGGAAACCTTGGACAATTGTGCTATAAGCCAGAAATAGATATTAGGATTAACATGCTCATTGGGAAAAATACACTAACTATTAATGGGTAAAAACATTAGTGCTTTAGAATAATAGGCGGTTTCTATTAGTCTAAAAGGTTTCTTACAATCTTGAAAATATTTGTTGAGTAAACAGTTTAAAGGGTGTATTTCCACTCCACCGAATGACTAGGCTGATTGACCTAACTGTGAGGATGATAAAAACGATTATATACTCATCTGGTTGTTTTAACTTGCTAAAATACTGATGACTAATTTTTGTGTCCTGCAGGCATAACTTGCTACTCGGCTCAATATGACTGAACGTTCTAACAAGTTATACCAAGGAAACTAATGAAAACTCTTGAAAATCTTTAGCAGTAATCTTGCTAAAACGTCAAAAGGTTGAAAATGATCGAGTTAACAATTATACAGAGAACATGCAGTCACAGAAGCAGAGGTTGATAAAATGAAAAGTAAAATTACCTTTCATGTATATCTGAGTATAATTGTGATGGTGATTTCAATAAGCTACGACTATTATGACAGTTGTAAGAAATACATTAATTTTATTCGGCCTAGTTCGTCAAGAAGGACAGATATAAACTTCTATAAAGGATTGAGTGCTAGTAGTATCTTAGAGTACCTTTTTCAAGTCGTGCTAGTAAGGATTAGACGTGATCAAATACTAGTAGCATACGAGTATATCCTAACCTTAATGCCCACGTTTCGCAGCCGTAAAGTAGAACGGAACAAACTGCCGCGCAGTATACTCGTCCCTTAATTGACAGACAGATATCTCTCGTTCGCCATAGGTGGCGTAAGTTGGCGAAAGCCAAACGAGCTTTCCGAATCCGTACAGAGATTTAGTCGGATACCAACCCATTAGATTGTACGTGTTACGTATGCCTGAGAACCGATTAACACGACGCGCAATGCTGACTAGTGAAGTTAGACACAGGGTATTAGGGAATGATGGTAAATCAGTTGATGAGGTTATGAATCTTCATCGACTGAGATGGTTAGACAACGTGCTGTGTATGCCTGAACACCGATTACCACGGCGTCCAATGCTAACCGGTAATAGGGATAATTAGAAGAAAGTTAGGGGCGGCCAAACCAAAACGTGGCATCAATGCTTGAAGTCACTAACTTCTGGTCTGAGCCATGTTGGTAGATTCAGACTGCCTGGTCGGGGTCCACGTGACTATCGTAACCAATGGTTGGAGACTCTTGGTGACATGGCTTAGAATCGATCACAATGGCGTAGGTGTATACGCTCTCTATCTTCCCTTAAACTGAGATTAAAATCGCCTCATATCTTCCTTTCTACGAACCATTCCTTATATGCAATCTTTCTTTTACATATTATCACCACTGAATTAACTACTTCTATTAATCCGGTGTTCATGTTGTCGTGCTAATGATGTATGGCCACTTGGACCGGTACAAGTATGTGTCTGGTCCTAAGTCGTGGCTGATTGACTGATGTGACTTCAAGGTGGTCAAGTGTGCTTCTTTTGAATATTAAGCTATACCATCATAGGTTTTTATTAACTTCACTTTTTACTGCTGACCCATATTACCTGTTTTTATTTCATCACTATGAATGGTATGATTTCCGATCCTTTGTTTTTGGCCTTATTTTCCTCCTAGGCTATGGCAATGTGAAGGGTGACACCATGGACAGACACACATGATTCAAATTCCTAACAATGGTTGATTTTAGTTATTATGCATTTCCAGGTGCCATTTGAGCCTACGCTTATTAAGATCATTACGTTAGTTCATATTGGAAGAGAGGTGAGTGTAGTCAATATATAAAGTCGGAATTCAGGATGGCAGTGCAGCGACAGAAGTCAACCTTTATATATTGAACCGGAGTGTGGATTTTTGGAGCGGATAACCTGAAGTTATGAAAAACTAATTCCGCAATAAGAACTAAAGTTAGATCTTTATGTTCCCAGTCACAGAAGCTTACAAAAAACTAATATTAGGTCCAATTTTCCATCATGAATCTCTAAATAGTCAGAAGAAAAGTTAACAAGGAACCTAGCGAAGGAATTCCGAGGTTCTTCGGAAATTACGTAGCTGATGCCCCATCAATGGTGAAAACCTTGGCATTTGCATAACGAAAACCCAGTGTTTACTTCACCACTGACTCACATTACAGAATACGAACGTACTAGTGATAAATAATACGAGGACCGTGGAATATGCAGAGATTAGATGTCGGTTTTTAGAC